AAAAATTTTAAGATGTGTGTGTGTGTGTGTGTGTGTGTGTGTGTGTGTGTGTGTGTGTGTGTAACGTGTTTGTATGCACGGTCGCAATTTTCGACGGATTTGCACCAAAAATTTACATGCACATGCTCTTGGTTAGCGGGAAGGCCAAGACCGGCTTTGCATTTCTCAACTCCCATCGATAGTGGAAATAATCGATTTTTCATGCTTCTACGGCAGTTTTCATGTAGTTTGCGGCCATTTTCTACTGATCAGAGTGAGAGCCTATATCTGGCTGCCACGAATAGGCAGGAAGATTCTATTGGCCAGCGTGAGAGCCAACAGCTGACTGACACGAATGTTAACTAGCATGTTAGCATGCAAAAAAAAAAAAAAATCGATAGCTGCATTCGTCACAAGTGGAAAAATTTAAATCTGCATGGCACACTTCAATTGGCTCATTCGCTTACTTAAACTTAACGTTGATTCTGATTCCGCAGAATTGGGTTGGGTGTGAAAAAGTATTTGTTGTTAACATTCTTTTTCATTCGGTTTTTCAAGTTACGAGTCCTTTTTTTCTAGCTGATCGTTTTGTGTTCATTTTGTTTAGTTCTTTTTTCGTAACAGATTTAATGTTTAGTATAGAGCTTAGAAAAAAATTCGCAGTGTGAGATAGGCAAGAAGTAAGGCATGTAGCAACATCAGCACGGCAAAGGACACTCCTTTAAAAGGCAAGGAAGGGCAAAAATATTTTAAGTCAAGTCGTAAGATTTTTTGAATCAAGCACGGGCAACGCCGGGCCATGCTGCTAGTAATTATATAATAAAAGCATTTTCTTAAATTATATTTTACAAATCAAGTTTATGCGAGGACAACAATCAACCAGTCATCACTCGTCAAAAAGCGTAAACATGGCTGATGTCGGTTAAAACATAGCTGGATACTTTTGCATATACCTAATACTAAAATCTAAAATAAATATCTAATACTAAAATCTAAAAAGAAAATAGAGACTTAAGAACGAAGAGACTTAGTATTCAAAGACAGGAAGATGTCGAGAGTCATGATCACCAACGTCCTGAAGAGGCATGGTCTATAGAATTGATTCCGGTCTATGCATGAAACGATTCCATTTTTCGCTTATCACTTAGCTGCTTATCTCACACCTGTCAAATTGATTATTGCCCCACATCGTATATAGCGTTGACCGATCGTTCCCCTGACTGTCACATCAAATATTGACGCCCACCATAATGTGTTTATGAGCCTCCCCACTCATATCATTTTCGTTGCCTCGCCATCATTACGTTGGTGATGTCGACCTCTACCGCAGACACTATCGGGTCAATCAATATCGAGCAAATCGATATCAAGGGAATCAATATTGAACTGATCCAAATTCATTGAAAACCAAGACCGAAAAATTACCGACACTTGAGCCGCTGTTTCCATCAACGTAAATAACAGCGTCAGCATCGCTGTAACTAATGCCAGTCGCATCTTTCATCACTTGGCCGACCTTACCGCGGTCAAGGTTACCAACACTACTTTACGGTCGCATAACCATTAACCTCATTCATCATGGTTTGGCTTCGCGACCGATGATTTTGTAATGGTACTCTGCGTCTGCCACAGGAGAAACGGATAGTCTTTAAAAAGTACACTACTTCTCAGATGACTTAAGCCAACTTTTACTTAAGAAAGAGTCTACAAGAAATGTTTTGATATATATATTTTTTAATAATTTCACCCAAAACAAAAGCAAAAACCCTTATACACAAACTGGTTATTTTAGCTAGCTCCACTAAATCGCAATACCCAAGATTTAAAATGAATTTAAAAAAAATAAAAATCTTTCTGGAAGCTTTCGTTTTAGCTTTAACTGAAAACTAAAGTATGAAATTTACTATTTCCAATAAATAAAATACTTTGGTGTATTTCAAACAGAAATTATATTGATTGAATCGATTTTTTTTGCTAAAATAGCTAATTAGCGCCATTTTTTTAGTCATCTTTCATCGGATTGTAATTCTCTTTAGTAAAAATCTTCAAAAATAAAATATAGTTTTCTGAAACTTTATTTGAGAAATATTCGTAGAAATATTTAGTTTAAAGCAAATATTATTTACGTTTATTAAGTTTAAAATAACACAGAAATGCATTTTTAAACCAAACTGTAGCTGTGTTTTTAACCGACATCAGCCATGTTTACGTGTTTGGCGAGAGATGACTGATTTGATTGTTGTCCCAGGGAGACTTGATTTGTAAAACATAATTTAAGAAAATGTTGTGAGCGCTTTTATTATATAATTATTAAGTATCCAGTCACCTTAAAAAAATATTTTCCGTAATTTAATTTTAGGAATGTTGACTTAAATTTGCTATAGTCATCGCTCTTATTTTCTGATAATATTGTGTATGGTCGATCACACTTTCAAAAATGTGCACGTTTATATACATGAAAACAAATATTTTAAAACATTTTTATGTTAATAGGTTCTTTTTTTATATAGATACAAATATTTAAGTAAATGCTTTGTTTATAATAAACAATATGCGTCCGCTGACAGGAATCGAACCTGTATCCTATAGAGATGTTGGTGAAACTACCCTAGAGCAGTCTATTCTATGTTCCATTTTCTTATAACTTACTCTAAATTTTTTTACACCTGATCCATACACCGAGTCTACAAGATCTGATGAAGGTGTGACATCACTACGATCTATGGTTCATTCGCTTGAAGCCATCTTTGAACACGATTGCTTATAGATACTTCTTTAGACATAACTGAATGAATTGAACATCCTGGATGACATCCATATGAGAACCTCCATCTGATGAAGCAATTTAAGAACATGAATCAAGTTTATAAATTTATATTTTGGGTTTGTGGCAACTTGTGGTATTATACAAAACTAACCACAACGCAGCGGGTCCCATGTCCAATTTCCATATCATCTATAATAAGTTTGTCATGACAGATCCATAAACCGAGGTACTTTTTCGTAGGTATTAATAACATCGATATCAAACATATCCTTATTACACATCGACGGCTAGATAGTGGTCATTTGATATATGATATTTGATATGTGTTCGATTATTTGGCCGATTGACGCTGACATTTCAAATCACTATCACTGTCTCAATCAGACAAATGATCTTAAGGGTCAAACGTTAGAGCACATACAAAAAACAAACAGTATGTTACTTTTATTTTCATCTAGTATAAGGCTCGAGAGCCACTCAAACTACTAATTTTTAACATTCTTTTCCGTATAATATCTCAAATAATACTGTATAAGAGTATAAAAAACGCCTAGTAGAAGTAACAGAAAATAGTTCTATGTGGATACGGGGAGTGTTTCAGCGAACATGACGACATGACATGACTGATCGTGAATGCGTAATGAGGTTTACGTTGCATTCCCAGAACGCGAGGTTTGCCGTTTTTCGAATTTTTCGTAAATTTAATTTCGCCGTTACACATTTGAACTAGTTTATCTACAAGACTTGTATATCGTTATAATGGGGCCTCACATCAGTGAGGGGGCCGGTGTGCAACTGAAACCGTTGAGAGGAAGGCCCCGAAACGGTGCACATTCTCTCCTGATGACCCCAATTTAAAATTCGAGAGGGACACATCAAAATTCAGTGAAGTCAAAAGCCGTAGAGAAGCTCGGTTGAAGTGTCATTGGCATGAGGAGCATTATAGATTCAGCTCGCTTCAGGTGAGTTTCAATTACTTTCCAGTAATTTCCTTCTTGTACAGTTTTTAAAACTTTGTCCTTTAAAATGATCGCGTCTGTTATACACTGGTGCGTCTCATATCGAATGCTTACGTTTAAAAAGCGTTCCAACAATATATGCAAAACCATAAAACTATAATTCTAAAACTAAAGATAAATCCAAGAACAGGGTTATTGAACACTTTTACACAAAAATATAGCGCATTCTAAACAATATATATATATTAAAGACATTTTTATGTTTAACGTCCTTTTTATAGATACAAGTATTTAAGTAAATGCTCTGTTTATAATAAACAGCATTAAATAACATTTACCGGCCTGAATGTCCGAGAATTTTTCATAGAAAATATTCGTCCTTTGACAGGATTTGAACCTGCATTTCTAATTTCTCTACATGTTTGTTGCTGTATATGACATATATTTACGCTGTTTTTTATCTGTGTGGATAAAGTTTAGTTGTCAACCGCTTGAAAGAAAGTACAGAAAAATTAGCTGTTGTCGCATGTAAACAAACTATTGCTAAGCAATATCGCTAAGTTTTTTTTTTTGTAATATTATATTCTCGAATAAATATGCGAAAAAATGTGAGTAATTAAGTGTGAAAATTTTAGTTTTGTTTGTATAACAACTGATCGCACAAACACCCTGGTCATAGCTCCACTGAAAGACTACTTAACAAACAAGAATTTATTATATTTATAAAAAATAATTGGCTCCGGGACAAACCAAAATTTAGATTTATTAATCTCAAGCTTATTGGCTAATATATATTTTCCCAATTTTTAAATATTCCTTTTAAGGAGAGAAGATATTGTTGATCATATTCTGAAGTGAGCATCCAAAATTTTCATTCGAAGAAAATTTTACCCTCTGCCAATTCAAAAAAGAATACCACGCGTCTCATACGACGTCGCTGGTTGGTCAATATATATGAACAGAAAGATTCAAATATTGAAATGCATGAGCATTTTTCTACAATTCTGAAACGGGGTCTCCACACACAAAAATCTTCCCCCAAAACACGTACGCAGGCACACACAAACACACACATACATACACATACGTACACACATATATTTATATACATTGTCATCAGAACCTCACATAGACAAACGAGAATTATGACACACTTACACGCATAATTATACACATGAACGCCGCTTGAAAATTCAAATGCACACGAAGTCTGCTTAATCAATGGAAAAAAAATCCATGCATCATACGCCGATGAAGCTGTAATAAAAAGATGTTCAGATTTATAAATATTTCCTATGTCTGCTCATATCTATCTCTGTCAGTTCCTATCTATCTATGTCTGTCTGCTCATATCTATCTATCTATCTATCTATCTATCTATCTATCTATCTATCTATCTATCTATCTATCAGTTTGTTCATTACCTATGTTTGTATTATATCTATTTATCTATCTCGGTCTTCTCTATCTTGCTTTTATCTATGAAGCTGAATACTAATCTCGGTCTGTTCATCTATCTATCTATCTATCTATCTATCTATCTATCTGTATATCATATTTATTTTCTCAAGTGTTTTTAATAATTTGTCAAAAAGACATAAACTCAAATTTATTATAGCATATTAAATTTTTTTGATAAGTACATGATTTAATGGTCTCCGAAGGAATTGGTAATAATTACTGGAACTATGGTTGTTAATTTTATATTTACCTATATCGAGTTTGATTACTAATTTTTTTTATTTCATCAATGATTTCTAGACGTCACTGTTAAACTATACTTATTCCAGAAATGGTTCGCCCTAATAACCCAGTGACTGGTAGAATTCAATATATTTCTGAAAAATGTAGCATGAAAATGTCTTTACACAGCGAAAATAACACACGTAACGAGTTCGTTAAATTTGTTCTCCGTGTGGGATTTTAAGCAAACTTCAGTAGGTACGGGATCAATTCTCTCGCATTCATTTAACACATGATTTTTATGATTAGAAGTTCGTGAACATTCTGTTAGTTTTTTTCCTGACAGGAAAAATTGGATTCTCTTGTTGATTATCAGCTCATCCGGAATCTATTTCGGATTAATCTCAGATCTTTTCCAGACAATTTGGAAGATGAATCTATCTGTCTATCTATCTATCTATCTATCTATGAGGGTAAAATAAAAAAATATTGGCACTTGCGCCATAATATATCTGTGTTATGTTATGACGTTCCCATCTATCTATCTATCTATCTATCTATCTATCTATCTATCTATCTATCTATCTATCTATCTATCTCTGTTCATTTGTTTTTTATCTATCTATCTATCTATCTATCTATCTATCTATCTATCTATCTATCTATCTATGTTCATTTGATTCTTATCTATCTATCTATCTATCTATCTATCTATCTATCTATCTCAGTGTGTTCAAATCTATCTATCTATCTATCTATCTATCTCGGTCTATTCAAATCTATCTATCTCGGTCTATTCAAATCTATCGATCAATCTATCTAGCTGTTCATTTGTTTCCTATCTATCTATCTATCTATCTATCTATCTATCTATCTATCTATCTATCTCAGTGTGTTCACATCTATCTATCTATCTATCTATCTATCTATCTATCTATCTATCTATCTATCTCAGTGTGTTCACATGTATCTATCTATCTATCTACCTATCTATCTCGGTCTATTCAAATCTATCTATCTATCTATCTATCTATCTATCTATCTATCTATCTATCTATCTATCTATCTAAGTCCGCTTCTCTATATCTCTATTGGAATTAAAACTGTCTTGTTTTCTTCCCCAAATAAACAGCTTATCAACTCCTCCAATTCACCAGACTAATAGACTGTTTCCATGGAGTTTATGACATCAATCGCCTCATCTAATGTTATAATATGGTACATCACAATCCAATTAACCAACGCGTCGTCTTTCCTTCAAGGTGTGTAAAATATTAAAACAATATTGATAATTTCTCAAATTCTGTCTCCATTTTGCCGACTGCTGTAAAAAGAACCCAGTTTGACTAAAAACTGCGATTTTGACTCAATAAATGCATTACCAGATCGTCGTTTACTAACTGAATTTGTATCTGCAATTTTCTATGTGATTAATATTAACCACTGAATGAAGTGAATTGACACAGAAGGAGATTATTTTGAAACATCAATAGCTGGTGCAAAATAAATGATTTTTAATCATTAGATTATGGTCTTCGAAACTATACATATGGAAATATATATACAAGCGTGGGCTGAAATAAACATCATTTAGTCACAAGCCATGAGAGTAGATCAGGTTAGAGCAAGGTGATAAGATATTCCATTATGTGTTAAATTATTATAATATTTTAACACTTTTATGTAGGTCTATATTTATTAGATAGATAGATTAGATTAGATATTTCATTATCTGTCTGTATTTCTGAGATGAGGTATTATGTACATTATTTACATTATTCGTGCTATTGGCCTCATCTTAATATTAGTCAGTCTTTACTTCTCTCTTTATTGTCGTATTTTCTAAAACAATATCTACACTCGTTAGCATCTGATTTTAATTTACAATCGTTTGCAGATAATATCCCTGCATCTAATATGTGAAGTTTATTCAATTTGTTTTTTGATATCATGACAGTCTCTTCATGTCGATCGTTGTTTTTACTATAAGATGGAAGGCACCTAAAAAATAGGACAATTTCCAAACACACCTTAAATATATATATATATATATATATATATATATATATATATATATATATACTATTTACATTGCTCAGACTATCATTCTCATCTTCGTTGCTATATTTATCACAAAAATTTGGGACGTTGTACGCTCCGGCCTTCTTCAGTTGGTTGGAATGTCGAACTGAAACCTTTATTTCGCTCGCTGGGGTAGACTGTTAGTTATCAGTTATCTCCTGTCAATTCACCTCTCCAAGTTCTCCACTACCTGTATTGAACTCACAACTCTTTGTGTTCTGTCACTGGATCTAACCAAAGCCTTTATCCACTGTGCCATGTGTCCTTAAGGACCAAAAAGCTGTAACCCGAGGGGAAGTGGAAAAATCAGGCGTGGCTGACCACATATGGAGAGAAAAGGGATATCACCACCCTCTGCGGGATCAGAGTGAAATCACCGACAATGAACATAATTGAAAAAATTCTAAACTCAAGGAATCAGCACATATGCTAGGCCACAAAAAATCTCCTGAGCCGACAAAGCATAGAAATGAATACAATATGGGAAGCAGTTATAAGGAGTACCAGAGAAAAGCAATAATAACAACGAAAATTGCAATATGAGATCTGGTAAAAAACATGCAAAAATTGCAATATGAGCACTGGTAAAAATTCAGAAATTCATACACAGGTAGTTTCGAACAATGCCAGAAATTGCTACGAAACCAAAACATTAATCTGGAAACTCGAGTCATGTTCTTTAATAGACTCTTCAAGTCAAGGCTTTCATATGGATGACATACATGGCGCCAGACTCGCTCAGAATTATCTAAACTTGTATACAACCGCTTCCTAAGATCAATGGTGGAAGAATGGTTTGCGCAAGTGAAGTCTGAGAGTCTTGGCAAAGACCATCCTTTTTTGAAAATTGGACTGGCGCTACAGAATCTCAAACAAAGAACTGTACAAAATAAAAGAATTACTTGAGGACTACCAATAGCAGCAACAACTAAAATAGATAACAAATGTACCTCGAAGTGAAAATAATGGCATTATAGAATGTTAACATTCCACGTTACTTCACATAAGAGGTTAGGAAGGAAATTCCTATCACTATTGAAATGAGTGATAAGAGACCCTGGACTTGAGAAAACTGTATTCCTAAAAAAAGGGTTTTCAGAGAAAGATTTTATAAATTTCAACTGAAAACAGTACAGGCCGCTCAGTCAAGAAATACCAAATGTTTCCTTATAAAGAAACGGCTAATATTAACATTATCAGATATTGTACTGGAGAAATTTATTTTCCAGAAAAAGATATTTTAAGTGAAAGATTTTATAAATTTAACCAGATAGTAGCACTTGCTGCAAGGTCATTGAATGCCGAATGTTTCCTTATAAGGAAAAGTCTAATATTACCATTACCATTAGAGCTGGGAAAGACCGACCCTACACTTTGATTCCAGCCCGATGTCCAGATAGTTAATAAAATCGTAATTTGTGTAGTAATAGCTCTTCGTTCAATGAATATAACTAATATAATTACCATTAGAGAGGAGGAGAACAGATATTACACTTTGATCCCACCCTGATGGCCAGTGAATGATGAAAAGCAGAACTCGATTAGCACTGGCTGATCGGTCGATGAACGACGAATGTTTCTTTGGAAGGAGCCGGCTAATAAGATCATAACGCGTGGTGCACTGGCTACTCGGTCAACGAAAGACCAATGTTTCCTTATAAGGTAACGGCTAATGATAAAGGCATAACTCGTGTCGCACACGCTCCTCAGTCAACGAATGCCCAGTGTTTCCTTATAAGGTGACGACTAATGATAAAGGCATAACTCGTGTCGCACACGCTCCAAACGAATGCCCAGTGTTTCCTATAAGGTGACGACTAATGATAAAGGCATAACTCGTGTCGCACACCCTCCTCAGTAAACGAATGCCCAGTGTTTCCTTATAAGGTGACGACTAATGATAAAGGCATAACTCGTGTCGCACACGCTCCTCAGTCAACGAATGCCCAGTGTTTCCTTATAAGGTGACGACTAATGATAAAGGCATAACTCGTGTCGCACACGCTCCTCAGTCAACGAATGCCCAGTGTTTCCTTATAAGGTGACGACTAATGATAAAGGCATAACTCGTGTCGCACACGCCCTCAGTCAACGAATGCCCAGTGTTTTTATAAGGTGACGACTAATGATAAAGGCATAACTCGTGTCGCACACGCTCCTCAGTCAACGAATGCCCAGTGTTTCCTTATAAGGTGACGACTAATGATAAAGGCATAACTCGTGTCGCACACGCTCCTCAGTCAACGAAATGCCCAGTGTTTCCTTATAAGGTAACGGGCTAATGATAAAGGCATAACTCGTGTCGCACACGCTCCTCAGTCAACGAATGCCCAGTGTTTCCTTATAAGGTAACGGCTAATGATAAAGGCATAACTCGTGTCGCACACTCCTCAGTCAACGAATGCCCAGTGTTTCCTTATAAGGTAACGACTAATGATAAAGGCATAACTCGTGTCGCACACGCTCCTCAGTCAACGAATGCCCAGTGTTTCCTTTATACGACTAATGATAAAGGGCATAACTCGTGTCGTACACGCCCTCAGTCAACGAATGCCCAGTGTTTCCTTATAAGGTAACGACTAATGATAAAGGCATAACTCATTGTCGCACACGCCCTCAGTCAACGAATGCCCAGTGTTTCCTTATAAGGTGTTTCCCGGCTAACAGGGCTAATGATAAAGGCATAACTCGTGTCGCACACGCCCTCAGTCAACGAATGCCCAGTGTTTCCTTATAAGGTAACGACTAATGATAAAGGCATAACTCGTGTCGCACACGCTCCTCAGTCAACGAATGCCCAGTGTTTCCTTATAAGGTGACGACTAATGATAAAGGCATCTCGTGTCGCACACGCTCCTCAGTCAACGAATGCCCAGTGTTTCCTTATAAGGTAACGGCTAATGATAAAGGCATAACTCGTGTCGCACACGCTCCTCAGTCAACGAATGCCCAGTGTTTCCTTATAAGGTAACGACTAATGATAAAGGCATAACTCGTGTCGCACACGCTCCTCAGTCAACGAATGCCCAGTGTTTCCTTATAAGGTAACGGCTAATGATAAAGGCATAACTCGTGTCGCACACGCTCCTCAGTCAACGAATGCCCAGTTTCCTTATAAGGTGACGACTAATGATAAAGGCATAACTCGTGTCGCACACGCTCCTCAGTCAACGAATGCCCAGTGTTTCCTTTATAAGGTGACGACTAATGATAAAGTGTCGCACGCATCAACTCGTGTCCTTATACGCTCCTCAGTCAACGAATGCCCAGTGTTTCCTTATAAGGTAACGGCTAATGATAAAGGCATAACTCGTGTCGCACACGCTCCTCAGTCAACGAATGCCCAGTGTTTCCTTATAAGGTGACGACTAATGATAAAGGCATAACTCGTGTCGCACGCTCCCTCAGTCAACGAATGCCCAGTGTTTCCTTATAAGGTGACGACTAATGATAAAGGCATAACTCGTGTCGCACACGCTCCTCAGTCAACAATGCCCAGTGTTTTCTTCCACCTTGTACGACTAATGATAAACCATAACTTCGTGTCGCCACGCCCCTCAGTCAACGAATGCCCAGTGTTTCTTCTTATAATGTAAACCAACTTCGTAATGGTTCTCCAATGCCCAGTAACTTCCACCTGACTCTATGTAAACGCTTCGTCAGTCAACGAATGCCCAGTTTTTCCACCTTGACTCTATGTAAAAACCAACTTCGTACCAGTGGTTCTCCAATGCCCAGTGTTTTCTTCCACCTTGACTCTATGTAAACCAAACTTCGTACCAGTGGTTCCTCAGTCAACGAATGCCCAGTGTTTCCAACTTATAAGGTGTTCTACAATGCCCATGATTTCTTCCACCTTGACTCTATGTCGCCACACGCTCCTCAGGTTCAACGAATGCCCAGTGTTTTTTCTTATAAGGTGAATTGGTTCGCCAATTTCGATTTTGACTCTATGTAAACCAACCAGTCTACAATGCCCAGTGTTTTCTTCCACCTTGACTCTATGTAAACCAACTTCG